GAAGAATACTTTTTAGGAGAACAGAAAGACGTAAGAAATTCTAATGGAAGAATAGCTATTTTTGGAACAATCTTTTTCCAAGTTTTTGTGCAATTTTCTCATGGATTTCCTTGCATAAGCAATATGTGTAGGTTGTGTTTTTCAGGGATCAATTAATTCTGAGGAGAGTAAGTCCTTATAAAATCATGAGACTGACCCCTTCCCTGGACTCTTGTTTCCTCTGTCATCATGGGACCTTTCTCTTGTGTGCCATGTGATACCATCTATCACATTGTGAATCATCCAGATCACCTCACCACAAAGGACAATCAGATTGGCTTCTCAATCAAGAATTTTTACCCTACAAAACTCTAAGCCAAAATAAATCTCTTTTCTTTATAAAGCACCCAGCCTTGCATATCATGTTACAGCTACACCAAACAAAACAAGACAATTCTATTATCGAAGAAAAATAAAATTGTGATACTATACTTGTAATCTTGTATGTATGTTAATAACACACACATTTACACATATGCCCATATATACCTCCATATTCATAAAAATTGTCTGAATGGTGACAAAAAGAACTTGTTACTAAGGTTTTTTCCAGGTAATAGAGTTGAAAGTAAAGAGAGGATACTATTTGGGAAGTTTTTTTTCTTTTTGGTACCGGGGATCGAACTTGGGTCCTTGTGCTTGTGTAGCAGGCGGCGAAACCACTGAGCTAAATTCCAGGCAGGGAAGTTTTTTATATTCTATATTCTTTTTAATTTGGGGCTTTGAACTTTGTTGTTTGTAGTTTTTGTTTCCTAAAGTCACTTAAGTTTATTTTTTTATTTTTTATTTTTAAAATTAATTTTATTGGTACATTTTAGGTATACAATATAATGACATTCATCATTGGAAATTTGCACCTTTACATAATTCATCTTGGTTCTTATTTTTTTCCCATTCCCCTGCCCTCCCTATCTACATAGACTTTGCTTCCATTTTTCTTTTTCTCATATTAGTTCCATTCCCTTCTTTCTTTTCCCCGACCCCTTCCACTTTCCCTTTCCCTTTGCATCTTTTCTTCCTATTTCACATTATCTATTATACCTTTCAGTCCTTATTTGAGGTGATACTCTAAAGTGAAATAAATAGGACATACATGTGTAAATACCAAATAGTTTCTTTAGTGTGAGAAACTGAAAGTGTAAATAAGGATTTAAATTTATTTTTTAAAACATACCATACAATTTTGGATCGCATCTAACAATAGTAAAGCAAGCTCTACTTTTTTAATAGGAGCTAAGGGATTTGCTGTCAAAATTGTTTTGCTCATCTTCATTCCACCATTTTAGAAGTATATTTAAAAGGAGGTGAGGCTGAGATGAAGATGCCCATCTAAAGGGCATTCTCACTCATTGAATTCTCTTCTGACAGAAGAAGTATATATAGGTTAGGGAGGCTGTAGTTATGTGTAGTTGAAAAATATTTTATATAAACATATGGGATTTTTCAGCCACATTAACTACTTAGACAAGAGAATTATTTTGTACTGGTACTTTGATTTTAAAAAAACAGAGGTTTTTTTGGCTCGCATCAGGTGTTGAAGTAAAAAAATAAATATATGAAAAATCTTTCTCTTTGAACAGGAATGTAACATTTTCCAGATTTTGTGATACATATTTTCAGAAAATGTGCCTGGAAATTTGGAGGACACAAACTCTGACTTAGGCATCACCTGTCTAGAAGTACAGGATAATCAAAATAAGTATTATGGTTTTCTTAAACAGCTTTGCTATAGAAAGGAAGTTTGCACTTGCTCTTTAGCTGTAAACTTAAGTGTATTCATCATAAAAATTAGAATTTAGCCATGCATGGCAACAAATCTTCCAAAGATTCAATAAGGGCATCTTGCATTTCTTACAGTACTCTAATTAGATAACCAAATTGTAATTAAGTAAAAATGAAAGCTGACCTTTCTCCTTGAGATGAAGTAACACTAACCATATGAATAATGAAGATTTATGAGTCAAATGAGCTTAAATAGAATTTAAGGTAATGGAAATTTGATTTCCCTTGGGAACTATATTTTTTTTTCTGTCTTGTCAGCACAATAGAGTTAACAAACTAGTGCACTGGAACATGAGAATTTCAATTGTGCATTCATATGACATTCCAGTGCACCATGCTGCTCTGTAGATATTTTGTGCAATCTATCAACTATTAAAATTCTGTCAGTCTAATGGTGAGATTTCAGAGCACAGGGCAGAGCTTGTATTAAGAAACAGAAAAATACCAATTTCCTTGAAAACAGTCAGCATTTTCACTTGTTCACCCCCTAAAGTGAAATCTTCATAGGATGTCACAGTTCTCTCTCCTTAAGAGTCTTACAAGAAACACACTGAAAAGAGAAAAGTCTTGCTTCCCTGACTGGGGATTCACACTTTTCAGGAGATCCAATAATGACTCAGGGTCCAATAACAGTTATCTGATTTATTGCACAAATACTAAAATAATGGTTATAAGCCATGATTGGAGACTTTTATCGCTTCTTCTAAGAATCTTTTTCTAAATCTACATAAAAAGTATGTTGCTCACTACTTAGAAAACTAAACCTTCAAATAAGCAAATTGGAGTGGCAAACTTCAGCAAACTTCATGTTGGTGTTTTCCTTTCTGTTCTTATTCTTTTGCTATTTCTCTTCCCTTCTCTCCATCACTGACTCTTCTCTTAACCGTTATACCTCTTATTTAAACATTCATCCATACTAGTGACAACACCAAGAGCACACTGGCCTAAGTTTCATCACAAAGTATTCATGTAATACTTCCCTAAAACACTGTTTTGTTTTCAGGCACAAATCTGATTGAGACCTCAGGGCCCCTCAAGTCAAGCCTGAGAGGGACTTAAAAGGTTTCTGGTAATTGATGAATCTGGCCCCACTCAAGAGCCAGAGTGCCTGATGGCAATGAGGAGAGGGGAGGCTTCTACGAGTGGAACTTACAAGGTACTCTTAACATGGGGAATATGGTTGAGGAGGAAAACTGCGAACAAGTCGGATTTATGTGGAACAAATTTGAGATGTATGCATTGACGCTTTGAAGTTATATGTAAAATAGATACTAATGGGAATTTTCTTTAAGTGGTAGACACTGAATGATTCTGTAGAGAGAATGATTCTTTCATCTCTGTCATTCACATACACATACACACATAAAATGTACACACACACCTCTATTGCTAAAGGAAGATATATAAGAAATATACATGTGTACATGGAGTTGAAATTGTAGTGGGTGGAAGAGGAGTTATCTAAAAATCTTTGCTTAGGTACTGGGTAACAACTGAAATAAAAATGAATTCAACTACCTTTATTCAAGCACTGGAGAATCTTATTTACTTTGATGTTTCCAAAATTCAGATTTTGCCAGATATGTATTCCTTTTAGCCACAAAGAGATGATGCTTAACCTTGGTTAAAAGACCAAGTTAGCATTTTTGAACCGTGGATGAACACATCATGTTTTAGAAGGTGGATTTTTTTCTAGAATATCTTCTCTTGAGAACTTGGCAGGACTTCTTTACTTTTCCTGTGTTGGCTTGGTCTGTTCTGAGCTATATAAGTTTGGCAGAACATGTTGAATTTTACCTCATGACTTGGATAGAAGTGTATAGTCTGGATGTGTTGCATATTGGTATAATTTATAGCACATAGACCAGATAAACTCAGAAAGCCCCCCAGATGTATAAATAAATAATGGTAAATTGGGGGATTTAAAAAATATGGTTCAAAGTTCTGCTGTGGTAATCTACATATAGTGTATTCTCTAAATAACTATAGAAATGTTAGGAACAATGTAGAACATTTTTTATTTAAAAAATAAAATGGGTAAATTTCAAATATGAAAATCAGATTTGGTCTTTGGAGTCCAGTAAATGGATATCAGTGCTTTAGCTCTCTGGTTTTTAATATTTGCTACTTTACTTAAGTTTAACTCCTAAAAGGGTTAATATGTATCAACACTCTTTCTTTGTACATTAACATATTGTATGATAATGATAATAATGTGCAGCATGTCATATTTTTACTTTGTATTTACATATGTTCTCTCATTTGATCCTTTCCAAAGCTCTGTTAAGTATAGTGACAAATATGGACAAGGAAACAAAGACACAAACATGAGCTACCAGGAGAGACTTTCACACAATGTCCTGCCTAGAACTCTTGCAGCCTCATATCTCATGAATCTCTCTCTTCTCTCTCTCTTTCTCTCTCTCTCTCTCTTTCATACTTCTAGAGAGCTAGACTAGAAAGTAAGACAGAGATAAAAGGAGTCATTAGCCTTCATTCTAGGTTCTAATATAAAATGTCATACTTTTTACTTGGAACTAATGTAGTGTGCCACAAAATGGGAAATGTAGTAAGTAGAAAATAGAGTTCGAATATTTTTAGAAGACATTTTTCACTAAAGAAAAGAATAGCTATAGATAGTTAACACAAAAACTATCTAGCTGTCTATATACAATCATCTATTAATACACAACTACCTTCACATTTTGAATTTAGTATTTCAGGTCAACACTTGGCTATGATATTCAAAATTTCCCCCAAATCCTATCAGACTGCATCTGAAATAAGCAAACCATAACAGACAGAAAACAAAAACACTTTCCTTGTGTAATGGATTTAATTGTCTAGAGTTCTGGATTCCTGAATGAAGCAGAAATCTTTCGGAACAAATGGTAGACACGGACTTGGGAGGTTGACTGCTATTTCCTCCAATAGGGGAGCTTGGTCATTCTTTTCCTTATTTCTCTGTGTTTATCTGTCCCCTCTGTCTATATCTCTTAACTCTTGCTATACTGGAAATCCTTTTGTAGATTTTCAGGAACAGCTTTTAATCGGGAGACTGTGGCTGCCTGAAGAATTATAGAATAGAATTAAAGCTTTACCCCAAAGCTTCTATGCATTACAAAAGCTTGCACTTGGATAACAGAAATATTTAGCCTCAGGTGACTGAGAACACTTACTGTTGGTTGCATAACGTATGGCGGATGAGGCATCCATGAAGTACTCTGGACCTATGCATCAAACAGCATTTATTAGCACAAAGCAATCACAGAAAGAACTTGGTTCTTGCGTTCAGTGGAGTCACACTAGTTCATGAGAAAGTGGAGTCCATCTGACTTTACAGCCAATTAGTGCTCAAAATAAAGAATAAAAAGAGAATTCATGACCTGATTAATTTCATCCCTGAAACACGATGAAATGTAAAGCAACTTCCCATCTCACTGGCTGGCTTCTATGCCCACAGGACCATGCAGGATCCTGAAGCACATTTTGAGAGTGGTGTTGAAGACTAAAGTCTTCGAAGGCCTCAGAGATTATTTGGATGTCAACTCCCTCTGATGCTTGGTAATAATTAAGGAAGCAAGAGTTGACTTCTAAGTTGTTCTCTTTTTCTGTTAGTGGTTGTAATTTTGAATGTTCTGGTGATTCCATCTTAGAAATATGTCCAACCAGTACAATTGGTGGTAAGAGCTAATGAAATAAATCAGAAATTTTGGGATAATGTTTTGGGTTAAACTCAAGTTAAGCAAGCTTGTATTTTTCTTTTGCTGTCATTGCAATTGGTATAGCAAATAAAAATGAGCATTTGATCCAGCCAACTCTTAACTGTATCATGTGTCAGTCAAATGAAAAAGTCAGCCTGTATAAGCTGATTGTCATATAAAAGACCATAAAAATTTTGTTTTCAGTATAGTCACACCAAAAAAATTGCCAGTACACCTTGGATTTTAAAAAGTGGTGAAAAGAAAAAATCAACAACATGGGAAATTGTTGTAATCTCTTCTTTGAAAGATGGGAATTAGAGTTAAATTCCACTTAGGAGCCCTCCCAAGTAAAATCACTTGTCTGTGAACATTTTTATTCATATCATCAAAGTGATCTACACTGAAGCTCAACGGGTTGTCTTGGCTGAGACAGAGGCCAAGATCAGAGAAAAGAAAACACACACGCACATGCACGTGTGCCTGCACACAGGCACACACACAAGCAGGTGGGTCTGCAGGGAGAACAAAAAGTGAACAGCACCTGTGCATAGCTTCATGAGTCCCAAGGAAAGGCAATTAAGAAAGCTACCCTTCTAGGACCCCTGATGCAATTCAAAGAAAAGCCTAGTCCATTCACCCATGGACATGTTTCAAGTCTGTGTATAGAAAAAAGAATGAAAATGAACTGCTTTGGGGGAATCAGTTAAGAAAAATGTATATTTTCTCAAGTTTGATGTTCTAACAGCTGGGGCTGAATAAGATGAAATTTCACTGCATCTCCAGCAGTCAGCAGTAATATAGTTTTGCCCAACATAAAACGTCCCCTGCACCGTTTGCAAAATACAGAGAAGCCCATGCATACACACTCTTGCACACACTCTTTTTCTTTCTCTCTCCAAACTGCTTTTTAAATACACTAGATACTCTCTTTCTACCTGTAGCATTTGAAGGCATTTTCTAATCAGAAACAAAAGAATTATTCGAAGAATAATATTAAGTAAAGAGGAGCAAGGAGTAATATCATATGCTTGGTAACTTAAAAGCATAAGGTAATTACTATTTTTGAGGTACAAATGTGAGTCTCATAATCCACCTGTGTACTTGGAATTAATTGGTTACAACACCTGATTTAGGACACACATTGAGTTTTAGCTTTTCTTATATTTCAACATGTGGAGTTCCTGACATCTCTTTTGATCTCTTTGGGACTGAGAATGAAATCAGAGCAGGGAGTAGTAATAACTTTTTACCACATTGATAATTTCTCTATTTGGGGGAAGTCTGATTTAACATTTATCTATATTACTTTACCAGGACAACTGTGACAAAATGAGATGACAATGATAAAATATCCTAGAGTAAGTGAAGGAATGTCTACAAATGTGCTTTTAGAAAAGACACAATAGGGAATGTAAATGACCAAAATAAAAGACAACAAGTACAATAATTTCCCAATGGTAAGAGAGCTGTCCTAATATTGGCTGGAAAGTAGCATAATCATAAAAACTCAGCAGGAAGAATGAAAGCATGTCGGATTTTATTATTCAGTGAATTGATGCAAACCAGTCCTAGAAGTAATAGGCTAATTCATAATTTGAGCATCATTACATTAAGATGTGACTAAAGCGTATGAGGACAATTTTTGTTTTAATTCTACCGTGTCCTTTTTCCCTCTAGATAGTATATTAATGGCAAGGAAGATCTCTCCTGAGGTGCAGGTAAATTGGACATACCTGGTATGTGGAGACAGGGGAAGCAGCAATGAATGGCGTGATAGATGTCTGTGGAATCATGCGGTTGGTTGCAATACTGTACGGTGAAGAATAAAATCTGCAAACAGAAACAACAAAAAAAGAAGATTCATGAAGCTGCTGCATGCCTGGCCACTAATCAAATGCTACCAAGACCAACTGGGAAAGACAAGAGTTTCACCTCCACACTTTTCCACCAATTGTTAACAGGGACATTCAGGAACTTCACAGTATCTGATTCCACTAAGAAAAAATAAATCATTTGAGCGAAGCAACAACTTCAAATCATCATACAAAATTACCTGAACAAAGTCTCTCTTAGGCCAGGTGAGTATAATAGTGTTTGTAACTATTGGGGGAGAAAAGCCATAGGCATCATTCTTTAAAAAAAGATAATGCTAGTCTTAAGCTCTCTGAAAGAAAGGCAAATGAAAACACCAAGCTTTAGAAAGATGACTGAAGCTGCACAGGTGGGATCTGTGTCTGTCTCTTTATTCAAGACATAAAGATCAGGTCCTTGAAAGCTCTGGGTATTTGGTGCTAGGGTCCATGCCCACATGAAGAGAATCCTATCTATATGAAAAGAGAAGATAGAAGACGATTGGTGTCTAGGTTGGAATAGGATTATTTTCTGGCTTTTGTCAAGGCACTGAGAGAAACAGTGGACTGATGGGACAAATTCTTGGTGATTCTGTGAGGAGCAATAAAGTTTTTAGTCCTCCAAGACCCTTCACTGAACAGTCATAAAATCATGCTGAGTGAGATTAAGAATTCACAAACAGAAGAGAAATCATTCTTCTGGAGATCTTTTAAAGGGTAGCTCCTAGATATAAATATCAGTGATGTGCCCATCTTTGCTCAGGCTATACCTTAGTCTTGCAACTTGACTAATGCTTCAGTAGAATTTTATATCATGCTTCCTCCTTCATGTCTCACTGTATGTGAAGACTAATATGGTCTCTCACAGAACAAACAAAACTAGGTTGTCTGAGATGGAGTACTTCGTTGATATGAGGCTAGATATGAAAAAACAAATATCCAGGAAAATGAATCATTATTTCACACTGCCAGATGCTTAACAAAAGTCAGTCACTATATTCATATTTTTAATTAATAGGATAAAATCTTAATTAAGCTTCATGAATCATGGATATTTTGAACAGAGAATTTCATGGGTTAATTTAAAAAGAAGCAGTTCATGAGACTTCTTTGAATGTAGAACTAAAATGTATGGTTTCTAGGATTCACTGAGTAAATTCTTTTTTTTTTGGTACCAGGGATCGAACTCGGGACCTTGCACTTGCGAGGCAGGCGCCAGAACCACTGAGCTAAATCCCTGGCCCACACTGAGTAAATTCTTAGAGTACAACTAGAGAATTATACTCTTAAATTTATTTATTGAGATCTTAATAAGGATCTCAGAAGAGCACATACTCTTTGGTTTTAAAAAATATAGCTGAAAAAAGTTTTGTTCATTATACACTGTAGCTCTCTTATTCATGCTCACTGAACCCCTAAGTTTACAGTAGTGAAGATTAAAAAAAGAGATTGGCTATACAACTATTAGAAAAAAGACTATACTAAGTGCTGACAAGGATGCATAGAAAGTGGAGCTTTCATTTATTGTTGATGGGAGTGTAAAACAGTACAGCCATTTTGGAAAACAGATTTGTAGTGGCTTATAAGATTAAGCATATGCATTCCATATGAACTAGAAATCCCATTCTTCTTAAGCAAAGATAAATTGTAACATTTGTTTACCCAAAACCTTAGTGCAAAGATTTCTAGAAGTTTTATTAATACTTGATTGAAACTAGAAACGACCCTACCACAGTTAAACTGAATCAATAAGGTATGGTATATCCATAAACTGGAATATTAATAAGCAATAAAAGGAGGATATAGTCATCATTTGGTTTCTGTGGGGATTGGCTCCATACCCATTCTGAAGAGCCAAATCTATTTATGTAAAATGATCTCATATTTTCATATAAACTGTACACATCCTCCTGTATGGTTTGTGTTGTGCCATCCCTAAATTACTTTTAATACCTACTTCAATATAAATGACATGTAAAATTTTATTATAATGAATGACAAAAACGTTTGCAAATTTTTACTGTAGACACATTTGTTTCAAATAGTTTTCATCATAGTTGATCAAATGTGTCCATGTAGAACCTACACAAAGGTAAGGCCACCTACAACAACTGAAACATTGCATATGGCAAAGATCAAGTGAATTGTGCCAAATGAAAAAAGTCTGACTAAAAAGGCTGCATAGCATATAATCCCATCTATATCACTACATGGAAAGGGCAAAACTAGAGTTACAGACAAGAGATCAGTGGGTACCAAAATCTGGGGGTGGGAGATGAGATCAATTTTAAAGAACAATGCAATAATTTGATGGATGTAACTATTCAACATCTGATTTACTATTGTGGTCACAGAATTGTGTTGGTCAAAATTCTAAAAGTGGATCTTAAAAAGAGGAGATGTGTTCTGAATAAATTAAGTATCTTTAAAAAATAATTGTTTCATAAGAAGGTATCTACCTTTCTACTTAAAAAAAATTGAGATTTTATAATGTGTAACAAAGATGAAAAAGACTGTAAAATATCTCTTATGGTTTCTATATTTAGTCACTTCAATTTACCTTATCTGTATGCTCATCAACCTAAAATCTCCCCAATATTTTCCATTGTAAAACAAGATGTGAACTCTTTACACTGGCCAGAACAATCAGGCTACTGACTATCTCTCGGACACATTTTTCTACACTCACCCTTTCTAGCCAGCTAGGATCCAACCATCATGTTGACTTTCTTCTCTCCTATATTTGCATCATTCTCATTCTCATCTGGCCACTGCACTTAGAAATATTGTTACCTAGAATACTGCTTCCAAAATCTCTGAAGACTATTTCTTCCTCTTTGGTCTCATCCAATTCATCTTTTCTTTGGAGAAGTATGCAGCTAAAATTGCATCTCCCATCTCCATCTCATATGTTCTCTACCTATTTTTCTTTATTATTTTTGTTTGTTTATCACTATCTGAAGTAGTAACTTTTAAAACATTACTTATGCATGTGATGAATGTAATGTTTATGACCCCAAAATTTCATATGTTGAAGTCCTAACTGCTGGTGTTTTTGTATTTGGACATGAGCCACAAAAAAGTAATTAAAAAGCAGATCATAAAGATGCCGCTTTGATTGGATAGTGTTAGCATACTTAGTAAAAAGAAATACCAAAAAAGTTACAGTCTGCCATCACTATTCTCTTGCTTGGTGGCTATTCTGTAAGGTAGGTATGGCAGGGATAGGCTAATTGGATCTGGGATTTGTGATCACTAGTTTTCAAGGGTGATTATTGTCCACCTAGGTCTTATTTTGGGGGAAACATAGTATATGACAGGAAAAGAGCCCTCACCAAAACTCAATCAACAGGAACTTCAATCTTGAGCTTCTAGCCATCAAAACTAGTGAGAAGATAAATTTCTGTTGTTTAGGTCATTCAGTCACTGTATAATTTTTATGACAACCCACACAGAGAAATCAATGTATTTATTCACTATTTCTCTATTTAGAATATTAGTTCACACAGGGTTGAGGTCACCTCGTTGCCTAGAATGGAGGCTGGGACACATTATACTTAATAACTATATAATGAAAGAATGAATGAAAGAATGAATGCACAGTAGTACAGGAAATTAAATAGAGATGCAGTGCAGAATGGACAATGCCAGATGACAACAGTAGAGAAGATGGTTCCTTGAAAGAGATAAGAAGCTGAGACATAAGACTCCAGAAAGGAGGGTCTAGTGAGGTCTAAATGCTGGAGGAAGTTTAATACCTACTTTCTATGCATGCCAGGGTATTAGTAACAGACAAAACAGCCCTTTTCTGTGAAAAACATGGTTTGCATTTAATAATCCCCTTTAGGTCTTATCTTTGACAGATCTTATTTATGAGGCAGTGAACAGAAAGACATGTCCAGAGCTTATAATGACATGACAGGCACCCATGACCACTCAACAAACTGTCCTACTCATACATCATGCAGTGGCTCAGCTTCTGGTAGAAATTTAGGTTCAACTTCTTATCCTGACAGAGAAAATCATGCATCAAATTTTAGCATGGCTGGTCTATTTTGTAAAATGTACCAATTGGAGTATTAAAAATGGAAGCAATAAAAATTGGATTGACAGGCAGAGTTTACAGGAAATTCTACTGGGAAAACAGAGAGCAGAAACATAAAGAAACCAGCCAAGTAAACTGATACTAACAAAAGAAACCTTTGGGGGAAAATTTAATGCATTTTTGTTCTATCTGCTCTAATCCTATCCATCAAACAAGAATGATATTTCATACTTTCCAGTAAGTTCCAATACTGCCACTCAAGTCAGAGAGTCATTTAGAATGGAAAATATACCAGGAAGAATGAACTGAGCACATCATTTTGATCTCCTAATTCTGGTATCATGAAATAAGCTTTTCTCAAGCCCAAACATAAACCAGATGAATTTACAGAAAATCCATGCTTAAGTCATAACAGGAGAGGTTGTATTCTGTCTGAAGCTTAGAAAATACTGTATCTAAAGAAAATACACAGAATTCAGAGGGAGAAGACAGAGTGTATTTCCCATCTCTCACTGAGTCCTGCCATGTGTCCATACTATGGTTTGGAAATATTGTCATATAGCCAGAACATTAAAAAATGAAATCAGTGAATTCCTAATAAATGTTTGATCAGAGACATCATGCTATTGAGAAACAGGAAAGAGAAAATTGACAATTTTTTTGCCATAATAACAGAGATAAGATAATTTCAAACATGTGTCATTATGTATTTATACCTGGGAATTTATGCATTATGTCTTGCACATGCTGTTACCAAAAATTGAGAGTGAATTGTTTAACAAATTATTTTCCTAAAAATAGTTCACTCTCTCAAGAGATATTTCATTGCCAAGATTTACCTAATATTACAAATATAATAGCACCTTTTAAAATATGTAGTCAGTGGTCATAAACCAGACCTGGGTTTGCTTTTGATATCTGGAGATACTTTTGTT